CGACAGGGTACTGCGACCTGAAATCTGATTCTGGAGGCCAAAATATTGGTCGAGATATTTGCAGACGTTTTGGATGGCATCAGCGTCACCAGCTTCGCGCAAATCAGCGAGGACGTCCCGAAGGCGGGTCGTGTATTCAGTAATGTCGTCGGCGCTGGCATGAAAGGCACCCAGGAAGGAGCCATTGAGATGAATCAAATCTGTCTCGTTGGCGGCATCAAAGGGACCATCCAAGTAGACAGGCGCCGTGTCGGCTGGGTCGGAAGCTGTTTGCAAACTCATGGCAGCCTTTCCCGTTCCCGGGTGCCACCGAACGCACCGATTGCAGCGCGGCCCCAAGAGAGGCAGGGAAGGCCCCCTCCCACCCCCCACAATCAAAGCGCTATGCGCCACCCAGCAACAAGGCCAAACCACGCAGAAAACAGGCAAGATCCTCTTGCAGCACAGCAGACGTGACCGACCGCTTCAACTGTCCAGCTCTGCCCCGGCCACACCCCACTCAGCGCGTTCCTCTCTGCAAACACACAGAACAGCGTAAGAAAGCAAGAGAGACAAGGGGCTGAATCAGCAGCTGAACAAAATTAAAAATGGAGAGAGAGTCTTAAGAGGGAGAGACGTGGCTTTCCTCCTTCAAAGTTAAAATCGAAATGTCAGATAAACATGGTGTACACCTTCTGGCAACGGGTTAAGCTTGACAGAGCGCTCGCTCTGGGGAGAGGGGTGTGCGGGCCGGGGAGGTGAGCGAGCGCAAAAAGATGGTCGTGGTACTGCGCGGACAGGCGGGTCGGCTATACGTTAGAGCGCTCTTCGATGGGGACGGCGTGCATGGTGGTACATTCACTCAAGAAAGCAGCTTCACAAGAATGTGGATGCTGGATAAACAAGAACGTCATCAGCTCAGCAGCACAAAAAAAAAAGAGCTAAAGGGGCCAACAGCACCATGTATTCCCATCTGGTCACCCACGATAGTACTAGCATGGCCCAACATGGCTTAACTGCGGCGATCGGACGAGAGCCGGTGTATTCCATGTGGTATGACCGTTGGCGAACATGACAATGACTAAAACGGCATATCAACGTGTGTACAACAGTTGACACGCATCACCTTGAACGACTCATTTTGCGGACATGTGTTTTGCGCTCGAAAACATTTTGCGGATCGTCGAGGGTCGGGGGCGGGGGGCGGGCATGAGATGAATTCGGGGGCGGCAATCGGGTGTTGGGAAGAGGGAATGGGAAGAGGAAAGGAAGGCGCTTGGTGACTTGGATTGAAATGTATGGTCAATACCGGCAGGATGCGTGTAGCCGAGCCGAAGCTGCGCCATTGGCTGGTGCTGATGATGGTGTTAATCCTGGTGTTGGTTTCGGTGCTGGTGGAGGGTGCTGAGAGCGGCCAAGAGCGGCCTCAGGGTGCTTGGTGTCACGGGAAGGAGATTGTGCGTCTGGCCGAGGTGCAACGTGAGCTACGATCACCCTATTTGTCGACCGTGCTTGCCGCGGCGCGGGCCATTGACGTTCGTCATTGCCAGCTACCCGCCCACGCAGGCGAGCTGCTTTTTCATCAAGGCTTAGGGCTATGGCGTGCTGGCCAGCTCCACGACGCTCGCACTGCCTTTGCTGCATCCCTCAAACATCATGCGACCGAAGCCGTGCGAGAAAACTTAGCCGGGGTTCTGGCCGAGCTGGGAGACCTGCAGCCGGCCTCGGAGCTTTTTGCACAGCTGGCCGCCGCTCGGTGTTCCCACGTCAAGTCAGCAGGTAGCCCAGCGCGGACTGCATTACAATCCTGCTTGCGGTATCTCGAGGAGGCTGGCACCCTTGCCTTTCGAGCCGGCTATGCAGCTTCGGGCCGCCGCTTCTTCTGGCGTGCTCTGCATTTAGCGTTCGAGCCGACATGGGTGCACAGCTTGCCAGCCCCTGACCTATTTGGCTTACGTGCCCACTTGTATTATCAGTTGGGTCGAGCCGAGGAGCTCAATACCGATTGCCCCCCGTCAATGGCATCCCACTGCGTGCATGATGCACTCTCCAACTTGAGCGCCGCAGGGCAGTGGGCCAAGCGTGGGCTGCCGCTGGCGGTAAACGCACCTTCGTTATCTTCACCACCCGTCTGCCACCCCGTGTCTCGACTTGGCACGGGGCAGGCAAACTGGTCGCACCAGCTCAGTGAGGAAGCTGTGGTGCTGGCTAACGAGATGATGCCGCCATCCCTGTACTCTCATGTGAAGCCGTTGGTGCAACGCGAGGTCACGGTCTGTCGTTGGTCAGATGTCGCTCTATGGGGCAATGACGGGATCGTGGGCCAGCACAGCCCAGAGTCGGGCTGGCGGCTGGTGCCACCCAGTCTTGGGGCCCAGACCGCCCTCCATCGACAAGCAAGCCCGGCTTTGCAGGTCCCACCCAGCATTCCGTACCATCCCACTCTGATATCAGGCGTGCAAACCTTTGCTGTGGGTTATTACCACTTCCTGCTCGACGTTCTTCCCCGAATTTTGATTGCGGTAGAGTGGTATCCCGGTCGACCCCTCCTACTGCCGACCGCTCATGGGCAGCGTAAACGGTGAGAGGGTGGCTGGGTGGGCACATTTGTATATGGTTCTGACCGTCTGACCATTTGTCATTTCACGCCTTCTCTTCATCTTGAATGTCTATTTTCACACGCTAATCAGCACCCCCCCGCCCTTGCCCATTTGCCCATCAGATTCATGGTTGAGCTGCTCGCCCTCGTTGGCTTGGCCGACTACCCATGGGTGCCCTATGACATGCGCTCCATTTCCCACGGTGCTTTCTGGGGATCGGGTGACGCGCGCCTGCAAGTTCAACAGCTGGTTCGTGTTGAGTGGCAGGCTGTCCAGACGGATCGTCCAGGATATGAGGGGGATCAAGCTTCGTGGGATGACTACATGCTGCATTATCCTCCATCGAGTGTGTTGCAGTACTTGCGCCAGCGCCTTCAACCGCGTCTATTTGTAGACGAAGACTGCGCTTCAGCCTGCTTGCACGTTCTCTTGGTGCTGCGGCGCACAGCAGTCACTCGACGGATAAGCAACGAGCAACAACTCCTGATTGCATTGAGTGCCGAGGTGAAGCAAACACAGCAACAAGACCTGCGCCTGCACATGGATATCATGGGCGACGATCCCGTGCCCAACGTGCGAGATATCATGCACAAGTTCAGGCGCGCCGATGTCGTCATCGGAGTACACGGGGCTGGTTTGGCCAATGCTATTGTGATGCGACCTGGGACCCTGGTCGTCGAGTGGCGCTTGACCCAGCCCCATGCAAGCTACTATGAGCATCTGGCCGCCAGTCTGGGCTTGCGCTATATCGGGCTTCCCTTTGGTAATCATACTGCGTATGCTGCGCCAGCCAGCCCTGTTGACATTGAGCGCATCCTCTCCGTGCTGCGCACAGAGGTCGCGGCGCACTGACCGCATGCCAAAATTGAATTCAGACATCTTCACTATCGCTCTCAATTTCATCCAGCTTTCAATAACGGGTGAGGTTTCAACCAAGCGGTGCATTCTTTTTCGTGCCTTTTCGCCACTTTCTCACTTTCTTCATAGGGTCTGGAGCCAAATCCTCATCGCTTGAACACGAGCGGACTGCCAAGTTCTAGTTCACGCTCAAGCTGTGCCAGATCAACCGGCGCGTCCGTGATGTTAAATGTTGCAGATCTATCAACACGTCCCAGGCCGGGCAGGGAGACAGGGCCCGATGGATAAGTGACAGGCCACAAGGATGAGACGAAGCTGGGCCAAATTTCATTGCTCATAGCCGACATAATTGAAGACAAGGAGGGGTGAGCGGAAAGAACTGACGCGGCCTCGAGTGGCGCAATGACTTGAGCCAGATTTGCATCGGTGTTGGTGGCTGCCGTCAAGCCTAGGTAGGCAAAGTACGGGTTTCAAGTGACTTTCGCGCTTGCGCACAAGCGTTCGTGACGAGCAGAAAAAACACAAAAAGCCAAAAACAGAAAAAACAAACAAAAAAAACAACAACAAAAAACAGGAAGCGTTACCGAGTAAATCCGCAGTTGTGAGAGGCGTCATCCCATCTGGCAGAAGCTCGGCATCTGTCGCCACGGAGGCTGCAAAGCTTGTATCGCGAAGAAGCGCTGATGCCGCCGTAGTAAAGGAATCACCCGATGAATGGGATGCAGTGGTCGATAGTCCCGTCGTCGCTGTGGTGGTTGAGGGAAGCGCGGCCGCCGGCTGGGTCTTGGTGGTGTCGGGCGGGGGTGCCGTTGTGTTGATTTCGCTCTCCGGTGCCGGAGGCTCATTGCTTTCTGGCGCAGGATTCTACGCAAAGAACAGGAGCAAGATTGCATGTAGGCACAGTTCGCAAGCGAAGCTGTGCTCGTGGCACTTCCGTGGTTCGCAAAGACACTCACCGGATACCCTTGCTGAAAACGGCGCCGAAAGTTGTTGAGTTTCTCCTCTTCTTGGGGCTTCATCTCGGGGTGAATGACCTTGTTCAGAGGGCGAGGCTTGCGCTTTTTGGCCGGCTGTGGGATCAATGCAGGTGCAGGTCAAATGTGCAGGGTAGATCCGCTTTGCCTGGACCCATGGCCGCGACAAGTAGAATGAGTAAGCTCACCTGCTCGCCCTTGTCGGCATCCTTGCCAGCATCTTCCGAGCTGATGCGAGCATTGGTGGTAGTGGTCGCCGCCTTGGCCGGTGCATTGGTAGCTGGCCGCGGGGTTGCGTCACCATGGGTGCTTGCACCATTGGTAGCACCCTGCTTTGGGCCGGAGCTCGTTCGCTTTCGCACAGTCACTTTGGGGAGTGCCATTTGGGCATGTAAAAAGGCCTGTAGGGCACAAGAGTTGCCGTCAACTCTGCAGTGAAGCGCAGGGTGGGCGCCCGTCTCGCGAGTTTGAGGGGGGAAAAGGTACAACGTACACGAGTGCCTGGAGTGTGATATTCAAGGGCCTCGTCGTGGACCATTTTCTGTAGCTCCTCAAGTCCAACGTCTCGCTCCTGAAAGGTGAGTGAGGTTCATCGCATGAATACAAGAAGAAGAGTGGCGATTATAGTATGATAAACAATGAGATCCAACAGAGGCTGGCACAACGATGCTACCTCAAAGTCAAAGCTAAAGGGTTCACAGACACGCTCAAGGTCTGGGCGGCGATGTCCCTGGAAAAACGGATTTTCCAGAGCTTGGTCCACGGTGACGCGCTGCTCGGGGTCAAACGTCAGCATGAGGGACAAGAGGTTGAGAAGGTCTTGGCGCGCGTCGGGGAACACGGTATGGAGGTCGAGGGCTGGAATGTTCTGAAAATTTTGCAGGCATCGGCGGGCCAGGGAGCTACCAATGCGGTCAAGGACATCTTCCGAAGGGCTGCCCAGCAGCGACAGAATGAGACCGAGCTGGTGAAGGTAGTCTTTGCCGGGGAAAAGGTGGCGTCGGCCCAGCATTTCAGCCAGGATGCAGCCGACAGACCACATGTCGATGGCCTGAGTGTAGCGATCAAAGGAGAGCAGCACCTCTGGTGCACGGTACCAGCGGGTGGCCACGTATTCGGTCATGAAATTTTGATGTTGTTCGGGTTTGGAGGCCATTTCGCGGGCCATGCCAAAGTCACCAATGCGCAAGGAGCAGTCGCTGTTGATGAGTAGGTTGCCCGGCTTGATGTCACGATGCAGGACGTTGGCAGAATGGATGTACTTGAGACCACAGAGAAGTTGATAGAGGAAATATCGCACGTGTGCTTCTGACAGGGGTTGGTCCGAATGGATGATGCGGTGCAGGTCGCACTCTTGCAGCTCGAGCACGACATAGAGGTCCTTGAAGTCGGCCGTTGTCGCCGGGGGTCGTTGAATGGTGAGGATGCTCACAATGTTGGGGTGAGCATGGAAGTGCTTGAGCAGCTTGATTTCGCGCAAGGTGCGTTTGGCCACCTGGATCATGGTAAAGGCCGAGCTAATTTTTTTTATGGCCACCTTTTTGCGGCTCACGCTGTCCAGCGCACTGCAAACCATGCCGTAGGCCCCGCTACCAATGACGCGGTCTGGCGAGAAGCGCGGGTCCAAGCGAAACCTGCCATTGGGGAACGTGTGCAAAATGGGCTCTACCGACGCCGCAGCGGAGGCCTCATTACGGGCGCTCATGCCCGCTGGTCTTGTTCTCGCGTCGAGCCTGTGCGCTGTGGTTGGCAGCCTCGTTCCGAGTCCGCTTGACCCTTAACGAAGCGAACAACCACAGCTGTCCACACACAAAAAAAAGGAGTCCACACCAGTTCTCTGCTAGCACAAGCGTTCAGCCTCTGGAAAAAGACCACCCAATCATCAGCCACCTCCTGCTCGGTTAGCAGCTCAAGTCCGCTCGACTGATCCGCTGCGCTTGACAGTGGTGACTGAACAACAACGACAAAAGAGAGAGAGAGAGAGAGAGAGAGAGAGAGAGAGAGAGAGAGAGAGAGAGAGAGAGAGAGAGAGAGAGAGAGAGAGAGAGAGAGAGAGAGAGAGAGAGAGAGAGAGAGAGAGAAGCATCGGAGAATTGTCAGCAAAAACTGGTCAAATCAACGCCCATTTTTATTTTTGGCATCGCAACACATCCTTAGAGCAAAGTGCGAAGAGAGAAAGAGAGAGAGAGGAGAGAGAGAGAGAGAGAGAGAGTGTGTGTGTATGTGTGTGTTGGCGGTGATTGAGGGGGCAGGGTTGCAAGGGGGGGGCTGTTGATGGGCATTGATCTGGGTGGGGTTGTGCTCTTCTTGTCGAGTGTGGGGGCTCCTTCAGTGGGTGCATCGTGTTGGCATCCTCGGGATGAGCTTCGCCGAGGAGGAGGAGGACGACACGCTCGACGTGTCGGCTGCGACGGCCGCACCTTTTCCGGCTGGCCGCCGACCCACAACCTTGCGTGATGAGGTAGAAACGCCTGAACCCGCGTCGGACGATCTTCGCTGCTTCTGGAAAACCACCCTGCAAGTCCGAATCAGCGAAGCAAAGAATGTCAAGCCACCTCAGGCGTACGTGCAGTCTGCGTCGAGTCCGTTTGGTATCGGGATCGTGCGAGCCTCTCATGTTACCTGCACTCGCTTGTCCGGTCTCTCGTGCCTGCTCCCCCACCAGAGAGAGCATGGCTGCTTTTTTCAAGATTGTGGTTGATGACGAAGTGGTCGCACAAACGAGCACCCAGCGCGGCGCAACCTCGCCGTTCTTCGGAGATAGCTTTGACCTCTTGCTTTCCTACAATTTCTCCCTCGTATCGCTTCAGCTCTTCATGCAGGTACGTCTTCTTCATACTCTTGCTGACCCTGCTTTGTTTGTGTGTTTGTTGGCACGTCTTGACCTTGTGGCTGTGTGCTCTTGCCCCCGCCTCGCCTGTCTCATTCGCTGGGTTTGGTGCCAGGATAAGGGGAATCGCGAGGTCGAGCTGGGCCGCGTAAATCTGAATCGCGCCTCGCTGCTCGACCCCACCAACACGGGCGGTTTGTTGCGACGCTCGCAGTGGATGTAGCCTAGCTCATGCAGATTGCTCACAAGCCCGCACCTGCCGTCCTGCTGGCCTTGCGAGATACTGAGACGCCTCACTTACTCGTCGGCTCTTCCATCACTGTCCGTGCCACAGACGTCAAGGAGCGATGGCACCCCCTGATCAAGCCGTCCCAAGCCATTACCATCCCAGGCGAAGTCCGTTGCGATGTTTTTTTTGCGATTGACTCATTCCTTTTGCTCCCCTTTGAAAAAGAAAAAAACAAAAAAAAAAGACTTTGAACAAAGAGTGGAGAGCGCGAGTTTATAGCTTTGCAGCTCGTCCAGAGTCATTGCGGCCATCTCACCTTCCTGTGCTGGTGATTCGGTTGGCTTCCAGGTCTTTGTCGAGTTGACACGCACTCAGCTCGCCGGACGCGACAAGATTGAGGTCACGGTCGTCAAAGCTCGTGACCTGCTCTTCAACTCAGACAATAATGCCCAAACCCAACACACCTTTGAGCTTCGCCTTGGAAGCACTTCGCACGAGTCAAGCGTTGCTAATACCCGGTCTGTTGATACGGCGGCGAGGCAAAGACCGGAACGAGTGGTGCAAAGTTGCCAGATGGCTCACGAGGGCATTCAGGTTGTTGTGCGTCCGGTGCTCACGTTGGCCACTCGTGCCATGCCATGCAGGCATCCCATGTGGGATGAATCGCTCACGGTGGAGACGGACGATGTTCACGAGGATCTCCTCATTACTCTATGGGAGGTGTCGCGTAAGTGTACAGACTTGACATGGATGGCAGAGGCGGGTGAGGGTTTGATGCTTAAAGTTGATGGCCGTCAGACCGCTGACAAGGAGGCACCCTCCTCCCCCCCCCCCCACCCCCTCACCACATCAGGCAAAACGCGACGCTTTCGCGGTCAGGCGCGCATCCCTGTGCAAAGCTTGGACCTGGACGTCCGTCGACTCATGTGGTACCGTCTTGGTCCTCGAATCGACGACTTTGACGAGACCTCGAGCACAGGCGGCACCGTCCGTGTTTTTCTCAAGGTGGGTGCAGCTCGCCTCTTGATTCGGGGACGATTTACATCACAAGGGCAAAGGCCCGCCTTGCTACCCTCTTGCCTGCCTGACTTGCGCGGCTACTCGCATCCTCGTTGGTCAATTTCTTTCAGTCGAGCAGCGAGCTGGTCTTGCCAGAAAGCTCTTACGAGAACGTCGTCCAGCTTGTCGAGGTTTGTGTCAAGGCCTCGGTGTTTTGCTTTGTTACGACGTTGACTCGGTGCAGAGGGGCCGAGGAAGTGCGGTGCATGCGATCGGGCGCACGCTCACGATGGGTTACGACTGGGTGCAGGAGCTTTCGGTTCATAAGCCTTTGGATGACTTTACGTTTCTGGGAGTTATGAATGGTGCGTGGTTGATCAGACGTAGTGGCAGGTGTCACTGGTGCTTGGGCATCGACCTCGGCGCATTGGTTGGGCACAATCACTTTGAGGCATCTCCCTGTCGTGCGCAGCGCTACTGACGGAGAGCAAGCAGCAAGCCGGTGAAGCACTGCTTCCCTTTGACCGCGAAGACTTTGCTCGGGCCTTGATGTCGACGTTTGTGAGCCGCCACAGCGCTGTTGCGTGTCTGCAGGCACTCAACGCCGCGGAAGTGCAGCGCGCCACTGATCCAGCCACGTTGTTTCGCAGTAATTCGTTGGCATCTAAGGTATCTGTAGAATTGGGTCAAATTTGGATGCACACGAAGACGAGCACGAAGACGCTTGATCACGTCTCATCCGGTTAGCCCATGCTGTCCTCATGGCCCATCTGCGCGTTCGTCCTGGGACTTGGGGGGCTGTCCTAGTGCACGGATCAGTTTATGAAGCTTGTGGGTTTGGAGTACTTGCATCGCATCTTGCTGCCAATTATCAACACCGTGGCCAATGAGAATCGCGATTGCGAGATTGATCCAGCCCGGGTATGATTGCCCTGTTCAAGGGCCTTTTGTTTTTCGCATGCGAGCTTGTACTTGCACTGCAGATTGTTTGGGCGTGCAGTTGGACCAGGGGTTGTGCTGCAAGTGTTGTGCCCGCGTGACTTGCTCATTCGACATTGAACAAACGGGACCCAATGACACAGCTGCCTCGCAAGGCCGCACAGAGTGGTGTCGTGCGTAAGCACGCGGATCACTTGATCCGATACCTCGATGCCATCCTCAAGGCCATGTTTCACACGGTCTCGGCCAGTCCCATGATTATGCGCCAGGTCTTTAGTCACTTGCGACAGTCCGTTGCTGCGGTATGTCATCACCGCGGTGTGCTTGGCTATTCGCACAGCGTCTGTGTCCCGGCTCTGTCGATCTCCGGGGTTCTCCATGTGGTCTGATCTTGGCTGTGTTGCTTGCGGGGGTGGGATGGGGTTGCGGTCTTGGCGGGAACAACCTCATGGCGACATGGTACACTTGCTAACGGAATGCTCTGGGCCCACGCACGTCTTTGCGGGTCAACAGAATCAAGACTTGGTGCATCGGGACAAGGATGCGCCGTTTACGGCCGTGTCGGGGTTTCTTTTCTTGCGTTTCTTTGCGCCTGCCGTCCTCAATCCCAAGCTGTTTGGTTCGTGGGCTGCTCTCTATCTTTTGCGCTGGCTGGAGTAGGAGCGTACAGTGTGAGCTCACGTATGTTGCTCTAGGTATGCGTGACGAGCGGCCTACGGGCAACGTGGCACGAACACTGACGCTTTTGGCCAAGGCCATTACAACGATTGGAAATCTGGGCTCGGCCCTGGCCGGTGGCAAGGAGCCCTACATGGACCCATTACGACCCATTATTGAGGACAGCATTGACTCGGCTCGTGCATATATTTTGGCCATGAGCACCGAGCCGAGTGCCAATGGTAGGTGGCGCTCCCCCATGCATCGGGGTGCACCACGGCAAAATACCCCTCACTGATGCTGGCATGGTGGGCGTAGAGCGCTCGTCTTTGATGTCGGTGGAGACGTACAACAAGGAAGAGATTGTCTTTCAGCAAGAAAAGGTGGCCGTGACAGACAGTGCCACCATGGCTTTGAAGAAGCGCAGCCTCACACTGTCTTCACGAGAGCTCACGGTGAACAAGCGTGGCAATACCGAACTCAAGATTGATGTGGAACAGTGCGTGGTTGGCCGAGGCTTGAACATGGTTGGACCGTGCGCAGCCCCACGGTGCTGCTAAGTATGGACTCACCTGGCTGTTGTCTGTGTAACCTCGTATGGTGCCAGGATTCGCAATGTGGAGCGGGTTGATGCGGACGCGTTTGACCGGCCGTATGTGGTTCAGGTGAGCATGGGACATCTGATGCCCGCCGAGCATTCTCCAGTCGACTCACCCTGTTTCTTGGTTGATTGGATGGGTGTAGCTGGTGTTGCCCCTCAGCACAATTTACATTGATATGTTCAATGCCGAGCAATTGGAGACGTTCTTGCAGGTGGGGCGCAAGGATTGGGTGGACGAGATTCAAGTCGAAATTTCTGGAGGCGCGGGGTAGGTACGGCTGGCTCACGGTGAGGAAACGAAACTGGCCTGGGGTGCTTGCTAGGTCATGCGCAAAATCCTGCAAGCGTCCGATGCCGAGGTGCGCACGGCCTGTCACACGGGCGTGTATCGCAAAGACCACTGGACGTGTTGTCAAGGGTTTTCGCCGGGCACGTTGCCCTGTGGCAAAGGGCATGTCACCTCGCTCCAGGATCCATTGCGTGCGACAACCAGCACGCTTGATGCAGCCCACTCGGTCGGTGCCTGTACCCAAGCTCGCGCTGCAGCAACGGCCATTGAGGCAGACTTTTTTGGGGGGGGATTGCTCAAGCGGGTCGAATGAGTAGTCCTTGGCTCACGCTTGGTTCTGTTTCCAACCGACTGTGTGCGAATGATCTTGGCTGTAGTTGTTCATGCTGCTGGTGGCGGCTTATCCGTTGCTCAAATATCGGATCGAAGAGGACAATGAGGGGCCACCACAAGCGTTGGCAGTGCGCAACGCCCAGGTTGGGGATGTGTTGCGCGCCTTGCGGCGTGTCAACATTGAACGCCTGCTGTTAGCCAAGCCGTTACAGGCATTGGACCCCATGGACATGCGGATCCGAACCGTGGCCGATCGAGCCTGAGCCCCGGCGGAGTCGTGGCAAAAGACGAGGAGGTCCAGAGGGGGTGAGTCTGTTTTCTTCTTCTGACTCACACGGCCCAAGAGATCGACGCTTGTCTTAGCTCGACGCTTCTCCTCTTAATTCTTTATCATTTTAAGCACGCCAAGGCCATATGCATCTCTGTTCTCGGTCCCCAATTCATCATTATGCAGTCATGTTGCCATGCACGAACGTGGTGCCGATCCGATGATCTGTCGAGCTTGGTCGGTTCAGAGCGAGCGCCATTTTCAAGGGTTTAAGCGCCATTTCAAGGCGGGGAAGGAATGTCAAGCACCATTTCAAAGTCCCATTCCCTCGGGCGCTAGCTACGACTCGAATGGCGATCCACGTTTTGAATGCTGAAGAGAGAGAGAGGGAGAGAGCTTTGCACGAGCGTGTGATTCAAAACATGAACCACGCGCTCGATCCATCCGGTAGCCCTGATGTAACGGTCAGGGTAAAGAAGCTCTGATGGGCGCAGGGACCCAGGTACCCAGGCCCTGACCAGCTTGTGTGGAAGGAACGATTGCCTTGAGCACCTGCCGGACAATGGTTGGCTTGTGTCACCGTACCACGAGGTCCGGGGGACGATGGCAATACGCTTGACACCCTCTCGGCAGGCGGTCAGGGCGGGGCAACGGACAACGCGATTGATGTAATCTCTCACCACCGCAATGGGGTGTGGCACCGCAATTTAAAAATCATTTTTATACGGAGCAATGACAGTAAGGACATACATGTCCCTCCCCTTCGTCTTCTTCGAGCCCAACATGACCATGAGGTTGCAGCGTTTCGTCCGGACACCCAGCACAAAAGGGCGGTTGCGAAACAATACAGCAATTCCAACCCAACCAACCCGCATCAGGTCAAAAGCGCGCCCCCGACGTTTGAAGACCCCGCATCCTTGGACACGCGTGTGCATCTCTCCCTCGTGAGGGCTGGATCTGCCTGGCGAGGCGAGGCGAGGCGTGTTTTTGAAGCGGGTGAGTCACCACCACCCTTGCCCTAATCATGTCAATGGTTATCAAGGAACAATGACCCCAATTCAATTCCTACCCGCACCAACTTTCTCAAACCTCCCTGCGCTCCCGCTTTTGTGTGTGTGTGAGACGCGCTCGTGGGCGTCGCTCTTTGAATCTGTGGTTTGTCCGCTTCATGGGTGCCTTCTCGCCAAACGCCCACACGCGCCTCACCGTTGCCTCGCCAAACCAAGCCAATCTCCATCGTCGAGCTTGATTCCCTTTGATGGCGCATCAACATCAAGGAAGCACCTTACCCGTCATCCTGACTGTCACATGATTTATTATACCATCTGATCCGCCCAACACAAAAACGCAAGGCAAGGGGCGTCAAAGGGGCGTCATCGTCATTACAGTACCACAACATGACCGCCCTGACATGAGGCACATCACATCACACAGATCACACACACATCACACCACACGCGCTCCTTTGGTGTGATGATATCATGTTGGTTTGGTTCGGTATTTTTTTTCCAACACATTACCACGTTAACAAGACTTACTCACACTTCTTATTGTACATTGCATGACGCACCTCAACAACAGCTTGGTGCCGCTGCCAATTCAAGTGTGTGTGTGTGTGTGTGTGTGTGTGTGTGTGTGTGTGTGTGTGTGTGTGTGTGTGTGTGTGTGTCTCTGTGTGTGACACACATACATTCCTTCGGGACTGCCGTTTGCTGTTTGCGCGGCAACCCGTGTCGTGCATTTGTCTCGCTTGTGCTATTCCCCATTTTCCTTGGGAGGGGGATTGGGACGCGCCATTGTTTGACAGGGGGTGTCTCGTAACCAAGCCAACTCCTTCTTTCCGTTGACTGCCGTTTATACGGACGACTTTTGATTTACGTGTGCGCGGGCCCTGCTTCCCGCGTCCCGCGTCGTGATCCGGGCGTCGTCATTTCTTGTGACTCGCTCTCTCTGTGACTCACGCTCAGTGCTCTCTCTCTCTGTGCTCTCTCTGTGCGGTCTCTTTCCTGTGTGTACCGCTTGCTCTGCATCGGCCCTGCTTGCGTTATCGGATTGCTAACAAGGTGGTTGCGTGTGACCAGCAATCTTCTGTTTGGATTGCTCTCGTCACATATTCCCCTTGCATTACGCACCATTTCGGCGATCGAGCGGGAGCGCAAGCATTTTTCCTTTCTCAACTCGACTCTGATCCATCTTGGATCGGACAGCATGGCGCATCATCAATCGGCCGCTGCCATGGCCGCTTCCACCAGCGTGGATGATCTTCCTGAACCCACTTTTGCCCTGGTCCATCCCAAAGCCCGCTCTGCGGTTCAACTCGACTCGAGCTCAGAGCAGAGCCAGCTCAAAGCGGCTCTGGCGCCAAACAAAGTGTTGCCGGCACCCGAGGCACGGCGCCATGTTCTTCCCAGTACCCGGCGTTCCAGCTCAGGCTTGCTCCTCGTCGCCTCGCCCTCATCGCCCGAGGCCACGCGCAGCACCGCTTGCGAGAGTGTGACCACCAGCCCTTTGCTGCACCGCCGTGAAGCCAAGAACCTGCAGTTGCACTTGCCGCACCATTCCCATGCTCAGCCAAACCTGCGCAAAGGCGGCTCATTGGATCAGGTGGTGCGCTCCGCCGCTGCCTCGCCCCGCCCCGACGTCAAGATGAGCCTCATGGCCCGCCGCCGGGCGGCCAGCCTCAGCATCGACTTGCCTGAAAATCAACCCGTCAAGAACGCTGAAGATCTTCGGGAGGAGCATTGGGATCAAGGCTCGCTTGATCACCTTTTTGATCTGGCCGCCAAAACGGGTCACGAAGAGGCTGCCCTACGACTCGACCCCAATGCCACTCCCTCTCCAACCAGCAGCCACTACAGTACCTCGGATCTCTTCTCTCCTGACATGTCCCCCATTTTGCCTACCCCATCCTCGGTCATTGCCCACACCCATGCCTTTCGGTACGGCTCAGATACCACCAGCGAGCGTGGCTCCCTCTCCAGCGAGGGCAGCCGCCCCAGCCTTGATCAAGCCCTTGGCATCAAATACCTTCCATCACCCCTGGGCCATGAGGCACATGCGTTTGGCGAGGACTCGGTCACCGACTACTTTGCTGAGCTCGAACTCTCCTCCGACGCCCGTCGGGCGGTCCGTCTTGAGTAATGAATGAACGGCCGCTCACCGTCCACAAAGCTTCAGCGCGTGCGGGGTTTCGACCGTGTTTGGAATGAGGGCTGCCTTTGTCTCTTACTTGGTGCTCCTTTGTTGATTTGATAGTTTTGACCATGTTATGTTACGCTCCCATCGCCTGGCACGGCACGCGTGCCCGTCTTGATTTTTCTTTCTTTCCTTTTTTTTTTTTTCCCCCACAACCATATCACATTGACATGTGAATGCCCATGTGCTTCATGTATCCTTTGATTAATTGACAATCCCGACTCGATTTCTTTTTCCGTTTTCCTTTTCTTGCCGTTGATCATTCAGCCTTTGGTGCTGCACGGTGTTCATCTCAAGAAAGTGATCCGGTTTCAGCATCAATTATGCCACCAGCCATCCAAACCTGAAAACTTATCTTAAACTCCGGGCGCATCCGTGGGACAAGGGTGGGTGAGCCGGTAGTTGAAGATGCTCATCGTGCTGTTGTACCACCATATGAAGCAAACAAGCACCATCGTGTGCCACCATTGATGTGAATGCCCAAAGTAATCGCAGGCCCCTGCGGTTTCCGCATTATCATTTCAGTAGGGTAAGAGTGAGGGCACGGGAGAGTTGGACATACGGGTTCGCAAGGAAGGGAACGATGATCGAATTTCTCTCTCGCTTGAGACACCCCATGCGCTTGATCTGGCTCTACCTGGGCAAGCGCGCTCAGGCCAGCGCGACAAGTAGAAGAGCACACCCACGACCATGATGGCGTACGAGACAAGGACGCGGTACAAGAACAAATCCACCTCCTCTTGGTTCTCATAGTTGAGAATCGCCCAATGCGAGACAGGCACAATCTGCCATCGCGCGACACAAAGAGGCGTGGGTTATAATAATCTTGTGGGAAGCCTCGAAACAAGGGGGCCAGCGACAAAGGCAGAGCAGCAGAGAAGCAGAGGGATAACATTCAAGAGTGTACAGTTGGACGCGGGCCCGACAGCCGACTGGCAGACCGCGGCTTACCCCAAAACCGAGGGTGATGGAGTAGGTGATGATGCGTTGCAGAGCCCAAGCGTTGGTTAAAAATTTCGGGTTGAGTTGCATGACTAGGTTGCCAACAAACACCACGACCGTGGCGCCCGCGTACAATCGCCGCAGGCCCTGCAATCCCAACGATGGCAAGTACCCGGAGCCAAAAAGACCAAAGCCGCAACCAGCAACCACGGTTAGGGACGCATCATTGAGCCGGGTCAGGTATAAACCAGATTCAAGGGAAAAGCCCAAAGCCAAAACAACCAAGGCTCCTGGTGTACCGTTACACAACTCACGGGAAGACAGTAAAAACCGTAGTAAACGCCCGGAAAGTAGGCAGCAATCATGCCCAGCGCGATACCTACGGCCCAAGAGTGACAAGTGAGACATGTGCAGCTTCGGAAAAAAAAAAAAAATTAGAGAGAAGAGGCTCGCTCAATCCTGCGACTGACAGGGCTGCGCACGGCTGCGCACGGCTGCGCACGGCTGCGCACGGCTGCCACCTTACCCAAGAGATCAAGCGCCAGCCATCGGTTGTGCGTGGCTTGAGTTTGGGGTAGAAAGAGGTGATATGCGCCCGAAAACAACAAGCAGCACTACGCGGGTGTGATCAATCCGAAACAACAGGGTTGGGGCATCGAGGCAAGGGTGAGTTGCAGACCGAGTCGGAGCAGGGCATCTCGCTGCGAGGCAGTCTGGTCGAGCCCAGGGG